TACAAATAGTCTTCTCATTTTTCGCTTAATTCAATGTTTATTGCCTCAGTCAGAATATTTGAATGAAGAGGCAACACAGTGATTGGAGTGCACAAACCTCTGGGGTCACATGGTCCACTAATTTCTCTCCATGTAACCTAGGAGATGAACAAGCACATAGGAAGTGGTAAGAAGCACAAGCACCAGAGTGAATCTACCTGAATTTGAAGCTACGTTCTAACATCCACTAAAAAATGATGGCTCTATGCATCTTACTGTATACCTGTGAAATTGAAATACTCTTACCATGTAAATCACTGTGAAGATTAAAGGAAATAATGCAGGCCAAGGAATCAGCCCAGTGCCTGGACTTAATTAGTAACATTAAGCATTCACATTTGAGGCACCCATGACAAGTAGCAAAGCCATGGACAAGATAATGTACGGTGTTAGAGTGCCAAATGAGGGCAGGGAGTCACACGGATGTCTGGACACATTCTAAAAGTAGAAATCTTATGACAATGACTTCTGCAAGGTGTGATCCAAGGCAGGTGATTCTGTTTGTTGAACTCTGAAGGAAGATTTGGTAATGTCAAGAACTTTGCAGCACTTAGCAGATGCTATTGTTTTCCCTCTAGGGTGTAAAGATTTAGTGTAAATGAGGTAGTGATTTTCATTGTTGCCACCCTATTTAAGTATGATTAAGTTCCATATTAAAACCAAATTGGTTTGAAGAGGCACACATACACCATTTTATGACTTATTTAAGCTCCCAGGGGCACGCTGAGATGGTGATGGAGACTGGGCGTGGTGGCACACCCCTGTAATTCCCGAGCTTGGGAGGCTGAAAAGAGGAGAATCGCTACAAGTCCGATCTATGTAGTGAGACTGTAGACTCTGTATACCCTGTACTAACTACATAAAAAATAAGCTTTGTGCAAAGTGATAATCTCATTTTTGCTTAAAATATTAGGATGCCTCCAAATATATGGATACCAGATTAAAGGATCCATACATTTTTAGAGATTTAAATTTGGATCTTTATACTATAAATGCTGTTTAGATACAAATTACACCCACATACAATATCATTTCATATACTAGCAAAGTTGCATGAACCTAAAAATCCTTTATTAGTTACTGGGTTAAAAAGACATAACATTGCAAGATAGCAAGATCTCAATTAACACAACAAACACTAGAAATGACTCCTTACCAAGGAGATGATTGGAATACACAGTGAATGTTTAAATTTTTAGTAACATATTACCATTAATTCTCTCCAGATTACTCCCCCTTGCTTTGAGCACACTTACTTAATTGTTCCTGCTACTCTAGTGTAGTTCTAGAAGTCGCTCCTCTTGTTTTTATAAAATGTGATAAAACTATGGTGAATGCTTCTGCCAAGTGCCAGCCAACAAAAAGGGAAGCTTGTAAAAACACTGTGCCGTGGCCTCTCCATCTTTTTTATTGCATCTGGCACCAAAAGTTCTGTATCTTCCCCGCAGTCAAAATAACCACGACAGGTGGGTGTTTTGGATTGATTTAGGACATGGAGGTAGCCACCACAGTGCAGTTAAAGTCCCTCATGAAATAGAGGACTTCCAGAAGTGCTTCAGAAAGTTATATGAGTGATGGTGTTATTGGGTAGTCTGGCTCTAAAAGTGGCTTACCAACTAAATGTTACCAAGTTCTGGGAAGCTCATCTCTCCTTCTGGAATTAGATTCCAAGTTCTTCTCATATTGAACAAAGAATTGAACAAAATGGAAACAGAAAAGCAAAATTTATTCAGGAAAGCAAAAGTGAAGAGTTGGGGAGAAACTGGCTCTGTGGAGCAAGCATGGGCCTAGTAAAGGGAAAAAGGGTAAAAGCAAAGATAGAAGTACACTCTATCTGGGAGAGTAAGCTATTGTGGAAAGTGATATAAAGCACCACTTCTCATAACTGATTTTCCCTTTTATGGTCCAAATCTCACGGATACACATGAAACTTCTGCATAGGGGTCCTGACAGGCATTGCTAGGGTTCCAAGCTTTGGGCTGACATCAGTTCTAGGCTATTGTATTGAAAACCTGCTCAAGCTCTCCAGTGAAGTCTATGTGCAGAGCTGTGAGACCTGCTCTACTAATGTGTCTGGGATCTGTAATTAATAGGTCGCACCTACTTCCCCAGCCAGCTTTTGCCAAGTGCCTATAATCTCCTATCTCAATGGGGTGTTTTTGAAGTAGGAGGGAGTCTTTTGAATGGATGTGTCTTCTACTGTAATAAAATTTTAAATTAGCCTTCCATGTATTTTTAAAATCATATTTTATATGTAAAAAGGACCTGAGTTACAATAAAATACTATCTCTAAAGAAATATATGGCTTTGTTGCTTTCTTTGCTGATAATTGCAGGACTAAAACATTAATTTAAAATTTCCCACAAGTCTTACTTTCTTGTAGCTGTCACTCAAACACATATATTGGCCACATCACAGGGTGCATAAAGAAAACAGATCTCTTTAGTAGGCAGGGATAGTGTAAAGAAAGGATTCAAACAGCTCCTGATTCTGCCCTTTTTATTTCTAATTTTAGATCACATCCCTTAACTATAATTTTTCTTTAGAATTTTGTTGTTATCCCAACCATATACACTCATTGTGAACTTTATAGTCCTGGTAATTTAAATCTCTGAATTGAATTCATCCTTTAGTAAAATAGGTATCTCTTAATTGTAAGAATAGCTTGTATGTAAATAACTGAGGGATGATTTTATCATATACATGCCCTTGACTTTTTAGAAACATACGTAAAATAGTTCTACAATTATAATTTATGATTATGATAATGATTTTAAAAATTCTAAACACTGTGGCTGTATTTTTCAGATTATAGTATATATCTATTTTTATCATTTAAACTTCTGGTAAAACATCTCTGCATTATTAAATTTAAGAATAAAAAGATAGGGGCTGGGGAGATGGCTTAGTGGAATAAGTGCTTCCCTGGCAAGTGCAAGGGCCTGAGTTCAATCCCCAGTTCTGCCTAAATAAATAAATAAATAAAGTTAGTTAAAAAAAAAAAGAATAAAAAGATAGAGTGTTCTTGTTCTTCAGAGCTTGCCTTCAGTGGTTCCTTATTACTTTCTAATTCCCAGGATTTGAAATCACTGCCATGTCTTCTGAAGAAGGGAAGCTGTTCGTTGGTAGGCTCAGTTTCATTATGGATGAGAAGGCACCAGAAGACCATTTCAGCAGCTTTGGGCCTGTTTCTGAGGTGGTTGTTATCAAGGACTGGAAATACAGTGATCTTGGGGTTTCAGCTTCACCACCTTTACCAATCCAGAGCATGCCTCAGATGCCACGAGAGCCATGAATGGAGAGTCCCTGGATGGTCCGCCAGATCCGTGTGGACCAAGCAGGCAAATCTGCCTGGGGCATCAGAGGAGGGGGTGCCTTTGGGGCCCATGGATGTGGTTGCAGCTACTCTAGAGGGGGTGGGGACCAAGGCTATGGGAATGACAGGTATGACAGTCAACCTGGAGGATATGGATATGGTTATGGGTATTCCAGAGACTATAGTGGCAGAAGCCAGGGTGGTTATGATTGATACGCAGGAGGGAATTACAGAGACAATTATGACAACTGAGAGGCTTGTAGACAAGATCTACCCAAGGAATAACATCTCTTATCTAGGTTCAGCCTTCCAAATCACCGTATAAAGATTTTTGAAGCCACACTGAAACTTGATTATTTTTTATTTTTTAACTAAGCTCTCAAAGTATCTTGTTAAAAACCTTTTAGAGGGCTGGGGAGATGGCTCAGTAGAATAAGTGCTTGCCTGGCAAGCATAAGGGCCTGGGTTCAATCTCTGGTTCAGTAAAAAATAAAAATAAATAAAACAAAACCTCCCCCACAAAACTCCACCTGTTAGAAAGCTCTGTGTTATTTTAATTTCCCCTCATTTAAAGTCACATTTCTGAGACATTTGTACACTATGGGGGCTTTTCCTTACACAAGTTTTTAGTTTGGACTCTCAGGATCATTGTGCTTCTGGAGCACAAAAAAATTGTGCCAGACTGATTTTTTTTTTTTTTGTGTATCTAGGTTATTTTTAAAACATGTACATAATTCTTTATCATGAATAGAAGAATTTTTGAATGTACCTATAAGCAGTCTGCATTAAGAATATGATTGCCTAGAGTGTTTTTTTAATTGAAGATCTACCATCATGATTATAAGAGCTTCTTGAAAATGTTTGTGAATGTCATTTTTTTTTAATACTGAAAGAAAAAATATTCTTTCGTGTCTCATGTGTTTGGAATGTCCTTCAGAACTGATTAAAATGTTCTGAAACCTGACCACACACACAAAAAGCATTAAAAACAAAAAAACAAAAAACCTGAGATAAGTTAATACCATCAACATGGATGTAAGTCTTAGAAAATGCTCTTACCATTTATCTAAATGGCATTAAATACAATTTTGAACTGATTTTAACCTTAAATGCTGTACAGGGCTGGCATGGAGTGGGTTTCAACTCAAAAAATAACTCTTTTGTTGTGGAAAACAACTAGAAAATCATATTCTAGGACGCTAGAGATTTTACTCTATTGACAAAGCCTCAATTACTTTTTTTTTATTTTAAAGACAATAATAATAAAAACGATACGGAATTTCAAAACAAGATGATAGAAAATTAACGATGGTTATTATATTGTATATTGTTCTCTTCAAAGTAGTTGCACTGATTACCAGTTATGGGAATGAAAGATTGATCAGGCAATATAGGAACTGATTTCTATTTTAACCTCCCCGGTGCTTGAACACAAAATAACTGGTTAAGTAGCTGGAGGAGAAACCCCCAAGGTTGTGACAACCCTGCTCCCCACTACCCGCCTGGTCCGTGCAATCCACCAGGGCACTTCCCCCAGCGTTGTTCCCTGAAGGCCCTAAGTTCTAGAAGTCTCACGAGAGCAGCCCGGGCTCACGGCTGCACGCCCCACCCCAGAATGCACTGCGGACCATAAAGTGCGCGCGCAGCCTCACTGCCGGACATTCGCGGGAAATTTTCAAAAAAGTCAAAACCAAACAAAAAGCCTGTACGAGGCCAAGCCAAATTTTCAAGCCACAGAGACCGGGCGGTGGCTTCCTTCCCGCCACAGCCTAAACTGCTGAACCAGCTTTGAGGAGGACCACCCGGTAAGAGAGAGGCCGCAGGACGAAAGGAAGACAGGAACTTCTCTCAGACATCTGGCCCGCGCGTCTGCTGGGGTGCTGGAGGTATGTGGGGGTGTGTGTGTGTGTGTGTGTGTGGCGAGGCAGGGGGTGGGGGGAATGGGGCAGAGGTGGAAGACTCGCGAGACTGTCAGTCCTGCGTCTGAAGGTGCGAGAGCGGGGTCCTGCTGGGTGTGGGGTCAGCGGAGAGAGATGGTGAGGGTGTGGGCGGGCCAGTCCGCGGAGGGGCGGGGCCTGAGCGTGCTGACCCGCTGGGGGCGTGGGCCCGGGGACGGCACAACCGCTGAGCCGAGTGGTGCACGGCGGGACGAGCCCGCGTTTGGGTCTGCAGTGGGCTCTTTCCGGAAGGATCTCCCTCATAGAGCGGAGGGAGCAAGGAGTTGACGTTTTGAGTTTTTTATTGTTGTTGTTTATTGAGCGCAGGCCGCTATATCTTAAGTGGAGAAAAGGTGATTTTTTTTTTTTTTTTTTTTTTTTTGCGTTGGATCTCTGGCCTCATGAAAAGCTTTTCCCTTTTAACCCGTCACTCTGCGGCTGGCCGGATCCTTCCCAATTAGAGGAACCCGGGACGCCCCTGCTGGCTAGCACAGGACAGAGGAGAGTGAGTGATGTGCAGCTGTCTTCCCAAACTCTGAGTTCTAGTTTTCAAAGCCCTTGAGAAATATTTTTAGTGTAGTTTGTTGGCTTGCTCTTTTACATGCTTTAGGTAGGTGCGTTACAACTGTGAATCTTAATTCCGTGATCCTGTTATATATAGGCTCTTTCCCCCGAGCTGGGAAAAGATTACGAAGTCTTGAAAAGTGGTAAGTTTGAGATACAGTCTTAAAAAAAAGGGCAAAAGAATTTTCCAGCAAAGTTTTTTTTTTTTTTTTTCTACTCCTAGTGAACCTTCTTGTTTTTTAGTTTCCCGAGTGCTGGGATTACAGGCTCACACCACCACGCCTAGTCTCAATTACTGTGTACCCCCAACAGCATACCGGGGATGGAACCCTGGTCGCTGAGTCTGCCTAAGCAGGCGCTTTAATCCTCTGAGCTATCTGGCTGGCCGCAGCAAAGGTTTTTGTTCTGATCTGAAACATTTAGAAAGCTCTTGGGCTCTTCATGGTTTCAGTCTAAATTGTTTACCACTTAATGCAGCTAAAACTGTAATATGATTAACTGGCATTTATCACATAGAATGCATTTGGGTCACCAAACTTCAGCTGTTTATGAATGTCACATATTTTTGTGAATAGACCTTGCAGAACATTTTCTCATTACCTTCCTCAAGGAGAAGGAAAGAAAGGCATGTGTTGGGATCATTCATCACATGGGCTGGCTTAGATAGAGCTTGTTCACTCTGACTTTCTCCATTATACTTGATGTTTCAAAATACTCGTATATATTAGTCTGTCAGAGTTCTCTATGGTCTCTCCCTCCAGAGTAAAAGTTATATCCTACATCTATAGTTGGGCTTACTATGTTTTTGTATATGATAGATTTGAATTCATTTTTTATTCTGTCACACACAGTTTCTTGAAAGGAATTGGCTAAGACCACAGAAAAGAAGGGTAAATTATTGCTATTTTTTGTTCTGTCTTTTTAAAGTATTTATTGGCTGGGTGTGCAAGCTAAATGGCTGTATGTATGTGAAATTGTGCATGTATATTTAAAAAATAAATGCTATCTCTAACTAGTTCCATATTTCAGCAAGTAGCTCCAGTAACAATTACACAAGTTTTGCATTTATGAAAATCAGCTATAGAAAGGCCATGTTGGACAGTGGAAAGTTAGATTGATTAAGCCACAGAGAGACCCAGAGGAGGAATATCACATGAGTGTTGGCTCTAATTGGTAGTGGTAGAGCCTAAAATCAGGTTGTAATCCAGCATGAAATGATTTTTAAAATTTTTATTTTGGTCTAAGGGATATGGATATTCTTTCTTTATGGGTCTTAAATGACTAACATTTTAATATGAAAGAACACCTATAGGGGAGGTATATTGAGTTTTCAGTAAAAAAAGCAGTAAAAGTGGTGAAGGAAAAACAATTCATAGAACAGTACAAATCTTGAGCATTTTATTGTTTTTTTTAAAATAAGCATTACCACCACCACCACCACCACCACCATCACCATCATCATCATCATTACCACCACCACCACCATCATCATCATCATCATCATCATCATCATCATCTGGACTTGGTTTAGAAAAGGCCTTGCAAAATTGGCCATTTTGTTAGGCTCCTTGCAACTCTCTTGGGCATAGAGAAATCATTTCCCTGTTAAGAACTGTTATAGAGCCAGGTGTGATGGCACATGCCTGTAAGCTCAGCCCTGGGGAGGCTGAGGCAGAGGATCACCAAGAGTTTGAGGCCATCCTGGACTACATAGTGAGTTCAGGCCCAGCCTAAATTACATAGAGAGATCTGTCATAGGAGTGCATCTATTGGTTTTTGTTGCTACAGCAAAATACCTATGTGAGGTACTGTTTATAGCAAAATTATTTAGCTCACAGTTATGGTAAGTGCATGATGCCATCATTTAGCTCTAGTGAAGCACATCTGGCCACCTCACAGCTTGGTAGGTAATATGACAGGAGTATGTGCAAGAGAGAGAGACCACATGACAAGGCAAGAAGTAAGACATTCAGGAGCCAGGATCTCTCTTTTTTCATAATAACCTATACTTATGGGAGCTACCTAGAGTCCTGCAAGGACAATATTAATTCCTTCTGAGGACACTGCCACCTGTGACCTAATTCCCTCCCACTAGGCCTCATCTCTTAAAAGTTTCACCTCTTCAACACCATTGTACTGGGGAGTATGGTCCCAGCATATAACCTCAGGGAGAGCAAAACAGCAAATCTACAGTATTTCTCAATAATGCAGTCCTCACACTTTCCTCTAGTTAGAATAAGGTAGGGTTCATACTTCTCTGTTTTCTAGATAAGTGATTGTCTTGGTTACTTTTCTCTCATTGCTGGGGGAAAAAACCCAATTTTGTGACATCCAAACTTAAGGAAGGAAAGGTTTATTTAGCTCAAGGTTTGTAGAGGTTTCAGTCCATGATCACTTGGCTTCAAGGCAGGGTGGCATGGTACAGGGGCAATAATAGTCCAAGGTGGCAAAAGAGCAAAAGCAGCAAGAACACAAGGTAGGAGAGCAAGCCTTTCTCTCCTTTATATGGGGGGGGGGGTTGTAGCACTCACACAACCTCCATGCTGTCCTCTTGCACAGGTGCAGGATGGATACAAAGTAAGGATCCTGGCCCCCTGCTGAGTCATAAATTAATCTTCTAAACTTCTCAAGTGGATACAGTGTATAAACCATAAAACAGTGATTTTTTTTCCCCCACAAGTTTAGTGAATTTTGGTAATTGTCCTATGATGACCACAGTCAGTTAAAATATTTGCATCACTTTAACAACTTGCAGATGTAAACTTATAATCAAACTTGGCTCCCACACTTAGCCCCAGGCAACCATTGATTTGATTTCTGTCTCCATAGATTTCCCCTTTAGATATTTTGTAAACTGACTTACAGTGTAGGTGCTGTCTAGATCTGGTTTCTTTCACTTAGCATAATTTTTTTTGAGATTCATGTATTCAGTGACATGTATCATTTGTTTGTTTCTGGTTTTTCCTGGTGTTTCATTTTGTGCATCACTTTTTGTTTATCAGTTAGTGGACATTTAGTTTGCTTTCATTTTTTGGCTGTATTGAATAATACTGCTGTAAACAGTTGTGTACAAGCCTTTGGACATGTGTTTTTGTTTTTCTTGGAGTGGAATTGCTGATTTGTGTACTAAGTTTAGCTTTTAAAGAATCTACTGAACTGTTTTCCAGTGTGGCTGTCTGTAATCATTCCTCACTCCCTCCAGCAATGTAAGGAGGACGTGGGGGTTGACTTTTCCACATGCTAACACTTGTTATATCTTTATTATACCTGTCCTAGTTATGATGTGGTATCACATTGGGTTTTTACTTTGGATTTTTTGTTGACTAAAGGTATTAAACAAATATTCCTATTTATTAGCCATTCCTGTCTTTTTTGAAGTATCTATTTAAATCTTTTGTCCATTTTTTGGACTAATGTGTTTGTTTTATTGTGTTAGATTGTAAGCATTCTTTGCATATTCTAGATACAGTCTATTATGTTTGTAAATAAGTTCTCTAAAGTCTGTTATGTGTCTTTTCATTTTTTTCATGTTAAAAAGGTTTTGGAAGCTTAGTTTATCTTTTTTCTTTTTTTTTTTTTTTTTTTTTTTCTGTTTTGGGTTGTAGTTAAAGTCTGCCATCAATTTCTTCCTCTTACTCCTCAACCTGCTTTCCATGGTACTTCACTGTTTCTAACTTCCAAAGGCCTGGAAAGGGACAAACAAAATATAAAGCCCAATTCATCACTTTGCAAAAGCCTGATACATTCTTAACCAAAACTTGTCTTTTGTCCCATGGAAGTGGCAGAATGCTTACTTTTACTTTCATAACTCTCTCTTATACACACACACACACACACACAGAATTCAAGATAGGATTTTTTTTTTTTAAACAAGTTCTCACTATGTAGTTCAGGCTGGTCCTGAACTCACTATGTACCCAAGACCTGAGTGACCTGCCTGCCACAGCCTCCTGAGTGCTGGGATTATAGGTATGTACTACCACACCCAGCCAAGTTAGACCTTTTTTAAAAAAATATAAAATTGGAGCCAGCCAAATAGCTCAGCAGACTAAAGCATTTGCTTAGACAGGCTCAGTAAGGGACTGGGATTTGATCCCCGGTATAGACTGAGACTGTGCATGGTGACACGTGCCTATAATCCCAGCACTTGGGAGGCTGAAAACAGGAGGAGCACTACGAGTTCAATCTGTGTAGTGAGACTCTGTAGTCCGTCTACTAAAATACATTTTAAAAAAAGAACATAAAATTGGCTCTGATCCACTACTGATCAGACTAGAAGTTACAGAATTGCTGAATTTTTTTAT